CCCTGTATAGGCTGCAGACCATACTGTTCCTTTCCTTCTCTGTTCTTTGACCAGATTTCCTGATTTATGCCCATAATTTAAGAAATGGAAATTGCTCGTTCTGCAGTTTTGGGTACTCTACAAGTCCTGGGCTCACATTCTCCAAACAAAACCTATTAGATATCCACATATCATGACATATTCACATGCAATTTTAACTTCCAATTTTCTTGAATTTTAGGGATTGGACTGACAAGTTTGAGTGATTGTGGAAATATGGAGAGTCAAAGGTCCAATGGAGGAGAAGAGTCAGCTCCAATTGGTCTGTCTTAGGGTTTAAGTAAAACTTTTCTTTTTTTTGATAAAGTTAAGTAAAACTAATTACTGATACCTCCAAACCTTTATACTAAATGGTTCTTAATTCTGAAACTAGGATGTGGGTCCAGTTATATGTAGGGATGGCAATTCTCCCCATTTCTCACGGGGCCCTGCGGGGATCCCCGCCACGGGGATGGGGCGGGGAGGAATATTCTTCCCCATGTGGGGGGGACGAGGATCATTTTCTCCTGACAAAATTTTGCGGGGATCCCCGTCATGGGAATGGGGCTGGGAGGAATATTCCTCCCCGCGGGGCGAAGACGGGGATCATTTTCTCCCCGCGAAATTTTGCGGGGAATTTTTCCCGTCCCGTGGGGCCCCGCGGGAATCCCCATCCTTGAAAAAAAAAATTTTTTATTTTAAAATTAATTTATTCTTTAAACTCAAACCCAAACCCAAATTCAAATCTAAACTCAAACTCAAATCTAATCCAATTACAATTAAATTTAACCCAATACTATCCAACCCAACCCATTCCCCTACATTTAACCCTAACCCTAACCCTAATTTATTTTAATTCCCATCACTCAATCTCTTTAACTGCAACTTCACACATCTCTCACGTCCATCTCACCTTCAGTTTCCCTGCTATTGTTGCTGTTGCCACCAGAGCCATCTGCTGCTACTGCCAGACCATATGCTGCTGCCACCACCGAACCCATCTGTTGCTGCTGTTGCTGTTCAACCAAAGCCATCTGCTCTGCTGCTACTGCCGGCTACCACCATTAGACTATCTGCTGCTACTGCCGCTGAACAGCCAAAGCCATCTGGTCTACTACTGTTGCAGAAGCCATCTGCTGCTGCTACCACCACCGGAGCCTGCTACTACCGCCACTGGAGTCTGTTGTTACTGCTGCTGCTACCACCACCAAAGCCTGCTGCTGTTGCTGCTGCCGCCAACGGAGCCTGCTACTGCTGCTGCTGCCGCGGAACAACTTAAGCCATCTGCTTTGCTACTGTTGCTGGAGTTATTTGATGTTAATTGGTGGGGAATGAGGATCCCCACCCATGGGAAATGGGGACGGGGGGCAAAATCTGCCCCTCGTCAAAAATCCCTGCGGAGATCCCCATCCCCGTGATTCGCGGGGACAAGGATGGGGAAGGGGTCCCCGGCCCCGTGGGGTCTCGTTGACATCCCTAGTTATACGCAACCCATGTGCTTTCCGACCATAAGCAGCCCATGTGCTTGAACTCTTGCGGCTTATTATGGAAACAAATCCTGTCATCAATTCCAGCAATCTCGGCTCATGAATCACAGATTCACGACAACAAGACTCATCTTGGCAACTATTTTTTCAGTATTATAACAGCATATCAGTCACACATTTAAATCGTATATACTTCATTATTGTATATATCTTTAGTTTTCTTGTGTAACTACAAACTCTTGTATATACATGGTTCCGTATTATAAATAAAATTCGTGGTTTTTGTAGTCAGAAAAGCTTGTTCTGTTAGTGGTATCAGAGCCCAGATTTTGTCCTTGGAAGTCCATTATTAGTCCACCTGACAGGACCTGAAGTTGATTCCAAACCTGCATGTAAAGGGACGTATTAAGTTACGTGACAGAATTCGACATTCATAACGGATTTGCACATAAGGGAGTGTGTTGAATGGAAAAATCTCACATCGAATATAAAAATAAGACAATAATTTAACAACCACGTATTACGTTAATAATAAAACAGATCAATTGGCTTTTATACGAAAAAACCAACTTGGGACAAATTGGTAAACAGTAAGGACTAAATCGGGTCCGTACAATAGTTTAAGGATTAAATCAAATATTTTTTTAGTTTAGGAATGAAATCAAAGATCTGTATAATAATTTAGGGACCAAATTAAAGATTTAACTTATTTAAAAAAAGGTGC